GCCTTGCAGTTTCCTTGGCAACGGTTTTTGGAAGTGTCTCCCCCCCCCCCCCGACTTTTCCTGCTTCCTAGGCCTGAGAGGACTGGCCAAAGTTGAACAGGTGGTTTTGCCCTTCAGGTGGGACTGGAACTGAGCGTTTCTCTGCCTCTAACCTGGTTTCTTCATCACTACACCAAACTGGATCTTCTTCCTCCCCACAATATCTGACGGTGGCTGGCTGACCAGTTGGTGGGAAAGTCGGTCCCATATTCCAAAGCTGCAGTAGTCACAAGACTGGCTCTTTGGCCATCCCAGAGTAGCATCCCAGGTGCACCGGCCTGCCATGGACTGAAGGAGCTGCTCTGGGATGACCAAAAAGCCAAAGTAGTGTGACTACTGCAGCTCTGGAATATGGGACCGACTTTCCCACCAAGGTCAGCAAGCCAAACCGGGGCGGATTTCCCTCCCCCGCCATTGCTTTACCTTCCAGTTCCAGCTTGTGTGGCTCTACTCAACGTAAGGTTTGCACTTGGCCGAAGGGTGGGGGCCAGCGGGTGGGCGGGCCATATGGGTGGTGCAGCCTTATGTTTCCTCATAGCCTGGATTAATTGCTTTGGCGGGAGTGCTTTGGGGGAGACATTATCAGCGGTCCATCAAAATTTTCTCACATACCACCAGTGGTCCCCAGCCAACCGGTTGGCGACCAATGGTCTACAGGGCGGAGTAAAAAGCCATATGTCCCCACTCAGAGGAATCAGCCCATTTCCTCAGAATCAAAATTTGACAGATTGAAAGGTGTAAAGTATGTGTTATTTAGAACAGGAGTCCCCAACCGCCAGTCCCCAACCGCCGGTCCACGGACCGGTACCGGTCCGCGGAACAAGTCTTACCGGGCCGCTGGTTGCTGGGCACCGCCATCTTTTTCTGGTAAAAAAGTGCTTCCGGTGAGCTTTTCCGGGTAGAAAGCTCACCGGAAGCACTTTTTCATCAAAAAAAGATGGTGGCGCCAGCGCTTCCGGTGAGCTTTTCCGGGTAGAAAGATGGCGGCACCCAGTTGATGCCGGTACCGGGCCGCGGCACCCAGCTGATGCCGGTACCGGGCCGCGGCGTCAAAAAGGTTGGGGATCACTGATTTAGAAGATACTGGATCTTGAATGCTGCAACCTTGAATTTGGGGCTGGAGCAGCAGGAACAGCTGAATGGATTTTGTGGGGAAGAAGAAGGCCCTGTTGGGTGGTCACTAGCCTAGAGCCTGAGAGACGCTCATTTTGAGTCCCGCACAAAGCCATCTCAGACACCTTGGCCTGTCCTGTCCTCTCAGGCGATGGAAAGGGGAAATCTGCTTTCAAAAAACCTTGCCAAGGAAACTGCAGGGAGTAGATGTGCAGGATAACTCCCCAAAAACCTACTTTTGCAACTTAGAAAATGTTGAAGAGTGAAGCCTGACCTGTTTAGCTTCTCAAGATTAGGGAGGTGTTGTGGCTTAAATATTTATGAAGTTCTTGTTTGTGTACACAGCCGCTAAATGATTTCCAGCTTCATCCTATCAATAGAATAATGAAACATGGAAGAACAACTGGAAACATCCACTCTCCTTGCTTCCAAACCACATCTAGGTAGGAGAGATTCTGTCTATCTGCATCCTTCCAGAGCCTAAATCTTACTAGAGGGAAGAATCTCTGTGCAGCTTCCCAATCTCCACAGGAGTTAGATTTATTATTCCCAAACATTTTGGGCAAAAGACTTGAAAGGCACTAGTTTGTAGAAAGATGTACTGTATAAATTTCTTGTGGCTCTTAAGGATTAATGGAATATTTTTAATAATCCCATTTGGGAAACTACAAGGTCAGCATGGCAACTATGTGCTCTGTGAGACATGGTCAGGGAATGTAAACCACCTTGACCCACTGGACCAGAAATTCCTCTCTGATTCTTCCTCCTGTGCCCACTCAGGCCCAATTCAGCTTCTTGTCAGTGTTTACTTACAACAAGACTTTAAGCCGTCTACTCTATACAACTATTGGGGTGCAGAAGCGTCTCAGACGATTGCTACTGAATGTAACTCAGTGGTCTGTGTGGATAACGACCCAGCAGGACAGACACAGACTTCAGAGGATAATTAGGACTGCAGAAAAAACAATTACTACCCACCTGCCTTCAATTGAGGACCTGTATACTGCATGAGTCAAAAAAGAGGGATGTGAAAATATTAACAGACCCTTCACATCCCGGACATAAACTGTTTCAACTCCTTCCCTCAAAACGACGCTATAGAGCACTGCATACCAGAACAACTAGACACAAAAACAGTTTTTTCCCGAAAGCTATCACTCTGCTGGACAAATAATTCCCTCAACACTGTTCAACTATTTACAAAGTCTGCACTACTATTACTGTTAATCTTCTCATCACTCCTTATCACCCATCCCCTCCCACTTTTGATTGTAGGACTGTAACTTTGTTGCTTGTATCCTTACGATTTATATTGACTGTTTCCTAGTATGATTTGATTGTTGATTGTACTTTATGACATTATGATTCTTGATTCTTAACAAATGTACCTTTTCTTTATGTATATTGAGAGTATTTACACCAAGACAAATTCCTTGTGTGTCCAATCACACTTGGCCAATAAAGTATTCTATTCTATTCTATTCTATTCTATTCTATTCTATTCTATTCTATTCTATTCTAATTATCACTGGGGACTGTCTTTTCTAGACCAATTCAAATCACTAGGTTGGGATGACTGCATCCCAGTTCTGAAGGAACTAGTAAATGTGATTTCAGAACCATTGTCACATATGTTTTAAACCAGTGGTTGCCAACTGGTCCGGGAGAAAATTTTGGTGGGCCGCAGAGAAATGTCACCCCCAGAGCATCCTCCAAAGCAATTAATCCAGGCTGCATGGGAACACAAGGCTGCGCCACCCACATGACGTGCAGGAACCCTCCCTGCCCACTTACTCCTTACCTGGCAAACTTGCCTAAGTTGCTATTTTTCCTTTTTTCCCCCCAACCATCAGCTATTCTGTTGTGCCGGGAGGTTTAGATTAGCCAGAAAGCAGGAAACCATTGGCTTTCTAGCTAATATTTAGATCTTCGGCTCTGCTTAAAACCTTCCTTAGGACAGAAGCTTCTATAATTCAGTGCAGACTCAGGTAGCTGATGGCAGAAAGGTAGATCTCTGAATAAATCTGTGATTGTGTGAGCAACTCAATCTGCCTGCCTGCTTTGCCTGATTTTGGGTAAAAGTTGCTCTTTTTTAATAAAAATATCAATATTTACATCAATATTTATAATATTTACATACAAGCCATGCCCAGCCAGTCACATGACCACCAATCCACACCCACAAATTAGGCCACGTCCACAGAACCGGTTAAGAAATTTGAATCCCACCCATGCCTCTGTGTGTTTGTGTGTGTGTGTGTGTGTGTGAGAGAGAGAGAGAGAGAGAGAGGGAAGGAGCGAGGGTTTAGATCAGATCTCTCTCCCACCAATGTCAGCAAGCCACCGTCAATCAAAATTCCTATTAGTGGTCTGCAGGATTTAAAATTACGAGTTTGGTGGTCCCTGAGGTCCAAAAGGTTGGTGACCCCTGCTGTAGACCATCCCCTACGACTCTTAGGTTGGCTTTATTTAATTTTGCTTGATATTGTTATATAGCCTTGTAAGAGATTCAGAGGCTTTGGGATCATTGCAAGCATTTCCAATTCCTAACTACAATGAGACATGATAAAGATGGTGCACTAAAATGTCACACCAAGGAAAGAACGAAAGTTGATTAAATATATATTTTACTATTTTAGTGTGGTGCAGTGAACTAGAAGTGGAGCTCTCACTTCACAATCAGGAGGTGTGACTTCAATCCTAGGTAGAGGCAGATATTTCTCTCTCTGGACACAATGAGAATATATATGCTGCAAACTCCACATTGGCAACAGGAAGGGCATCCGGCCAGTAAACACTCAGCTCCATTCTGTTGTCCCAACACCACCCCGCAATGCATAAACACACACTATTTTAAATTTTAGAAATTTTGCATATGTTTAAATTCGAAATCACTTGCAAACGAAGATCACAGCAGTAGTTGTGAATAAAGCTGGAGATCCTGTGGTCAAAACCACAATCCCTTTTCTGCTCAACTCAATATTCCTACAGCTCTTCTCCAATGAAGACCACCTGCAAGGCACAACAGCTTTTACATCTGAAGTTTTATTCTGGTTTTGTCACTGCCCCAAACTCCCCCAATATACTTGCTATTCATATGGTAACTTCCACTGGTGTGCCTCATTCTTGACACAATCTGAACAGACATGCTTGGTGTGCTGAATTCTTGAAACTGTTTGGAAAAGATAAACTTTGAAACCCTTCGGCTTCTTCTTTCGCTTTCTCATTATATGAGGAGCCACAATCTCTAACTATAGTCTGAGTGCTCCTGTCCCCAAGAGATGCTGGCTGGAGAATTCTGGGGCTGAAAATCTCGGGGCAGGCAAGGAAGACAAAGGCTGGGACTCTGTATGTGGTATTTCTATCATCTACCATGATAAAAATGCAAAGAACACTCCCAAAATATTTTTACATAATTGCACAATTTCTGCAAAAATAAATATCCAAGCAAGTTCTGCTGCTGATGGCCAAATAGCCATTATCAAACTAATACGTTGCAATTTCTTCTTTTCTCCTTCCCATCTAATATCATTACATAAAGGTAAAGGTTCCACTTGCACATATGTGCTAGTCGTTTCCGGCTCTAGGGGGCGGTGCTCATCTCGTTAAGAGCCAGCGCTGTCCAAAGACGTCTCCATGGTCATGTGGCCAGCATGACTAAACACAGAAGGTGTACAGAATGCTTTTACCTTCCCATCAAAGTGGTCCCTATTTTTCTACTTGCATTTTTACATGCTTTTGAACTGCTAGGTTGACAGAAGCTGGGACAAGTAATGGGAGCTCACTGTTACATGGTGCTAGGGATTCAAACCACTGAATTGCTGACCTTTTTGATTGACAAGCTCAGCGTCTTAGCCACTGAGCCACCACATCCTTCTTACATATTTGTCTACAAAAAAAATCAGGCAAATTCTTTGCAGTCAAATTAAATAAGTCAGTTTCTCAGCTGGACTTATAATGGGACGTTAGAAATGAAATTAGAAATAGAAAATAAAAATAGAAAAGGAGTCAGACAGGGCTGCCCACTCTCACCCCTGCTCTTCATATTATCACTAGAAGCATTATTAACGCGAACTAGACAGAACCCAGACATAAAAGGATTAAAGGTTAAGAAAGAAGAATATAAGTTGCAAGCGTTTGTGGATGATATGATTTTTTTCATTGAAGAACCAACAGAAAGAGGACAAAAAGTGATGAATGAATTAGAACAATTTGGAGCAGTAGCAGGACTAAAAATTAATAGGAAGAAAATGAAATTAATGACTAAAAATTTAACAGGAAAACAGAAATTAGAACTAGAAGAAGTTATGGGACTACAAGTGATAAAGAAAGCTAAATATTTAGAAATATGGTTGACAGCACATTGTAAGACACAAAAGGAAAACAATTATGACAAATTAATGCAACAGGTAAAGAAGGATTTAGAAACATGGGGCAAACTGCAACTTTCACTATTAGGCAGGATTGCTGCTATTAAAATGAATATTCTTCCAAAATTCCTCTATATATTTCAGACGATTCCAATTAAAGTACACAAAAAGTTTTTTGAAGAACACAAGAAGATAACTGCAAAATTCATCTGGCAAGGGAAAAAACCTAGAATAAATTTAAAGGCAATGCAAGATATGAAGAGCAGGGGAGGGCTGGCACTCCCAAATTGGGAGTTGTATTATAGTGCGGCCTCTTTAGTATGGTTGAAGGAATGGGTGAATTTAACCAATAAGAGAATATTACTCTTAGAAGGCCATGACTTACAGAGGGGGTGGCATGCTTTTTTATGGGATATTGGGAAAACTAGCCAGAAATATTTTCACAGACACCTAATCAGAGATTCATTACTGACCAATTGGAAGAAAATACGGAAAAAACACTATTTAAAGATGCCAATCTGGATCTCAACAATGGAGGCGATGATCCACCCAAATAATCTGGATATTACTAAAATGATTAAATATAAGGACCTATTGGATACGCAAGGAAATCTGAAATTGTGGCAAGACCTTCAAGATCAGGGATTAAAAATTAATCGGTGGGCATATCTTCAAATTCAAAGCAGATACAAACAGGACAAGAAAGAATTTGGAATTAATAATAAACTCCAGCAATTAGATAAAATTTTATTAGGATCAGGCAAAAAAAATATAACAAAATTTTATAATTATTTATTACAGGTAGAATTAGAGGAAGAAATTGTTAAAGGGAACATGATAGCCTGGAGTAGGAATATAGGACGTAGTATCACCTTAACAGAATGGGAAAAGGTCTGGGGTAGAAATAATAAAATCACAAAATCGGTAGCGTACAAAGAAAATTCCTATAAAATGTTTTACAGGTGGCACCTTCCTCCTTCGAGATTAGTGAAGATACACCCCAATATGAGTCCGAACTGCTGGAAATGCAAAAAAAAAAGAGGGAACTTTCTTCCATATGTGGTGGTCTTGTACAGAAGCTCAAAAATATTGGCAGAAAATTAGAAATTGGCTGGAGGAAATGACAAGAGAACAGGTCGAATTTAAACCAGAGTCCTTTCTATTAGGGATCTTTGATAAAAAAAACTACCCAAAAAAGGGAAATATATAATAATACATATTTTGACAGTGGCCAGATTGGCTTTTGCACAATGTTGGAAACAGCCTCATATTCCATCAGAGGAAATGATTATTCAAAAAATTTCAAGTTGTGCAGAAATGGACAAATTAACCTTGGCATTAAAAGATAAAGACACTTCAATATATTACGACAGCTGGAACTGCTGGTACAAATGGATAGACCAAAGACAGTTTTCACACTAAAAGGCAAAAGAATATGATAGAATCGTAGTAGTGATATATATATATATATATGTAAGGATTGTGTATATGGCATAAAATAAGGATAAAAAGGAGGTCTCACAAACTGTTGAAGATGGAAATGTTTTTAATTGTTTTCTGTCTTTTTCTTTCTTTTTTTTTTATTTTCCTTTTCTCTCTTACATTTATGTGTGTGTTGTTGGTCTATTTTAATTGTAAAATCAATAAACTGTATTTAAAAAAAGAAATGAAATTCATGCCTTCCCTATACTGATCACTTTGGGTCTCAGGTGGATTTTCTTGTGTGCAATAAGGGCGGAATGTTTCCTGAAGGACCGTCCACACTTGGGGCACTTAAATGGTTTCTCCCCTGTGTGTATAAGCATATGATTTAGAAGGTTAACCCTAGTACTGAGATCTTTCCCACAGTCTGGACACTCATAAGGTTTCTCTCCTATGTGAGTTCTCTGATGTCTCACCAGGCTGGAATTGTGACTGAAACTTCTCCCACAATCAGGACATTTAAAGGGTTTCACTCCTGTGTGAGTCCTCTGGTGTATCACGAGCTGGGAATTCTGAGAGAAACTTTTTCCACAATCAGAACATTCAAAGGGTTTCTCTCCTGTGTGAATCCTCTGGTGTTTCACCAGGCTGGAATTCTGACTGAAACTTTTCCCACAATTAGGACATTCAAAGGGTTTCTCTCCTGTATGAGTCCTCTGGTGGCTAATAAGGTGGGAATTGGTACTAAATCTTTTCTCACAATCAGGACATTCAAAGGGTTTCTCTCCTGTGTGAGTTCTCTGGTGTATCACCAGGCTGGAATTCTGACTGAAACTTTTCCCACAATTAGGACATTCAAAGGGTTTCTCTCCTGTATGAGTCCTCTGATGTATCACAAGGCTGGAATTGGTACTGAAACTTTTTCCACAGTCAGGACATTCAAAGGGTTTCTCTCCTGTGTGAATCTTCTGGTGGTTAATAAGGTTGGAATTGTTACTAAAACTTTTCCTACAATCAGGACATTCAAAGGGTTTCTCTCCTGTGTGAGATCTCTGGTGTATCACCAAGCTGGAATTCTGACTGAAACTTTTCCCACAATCAGGACATTCAAAGGGTTTCTCTCCTGTGTGAGATCTCTGATGTATCACCAGGCTGGAATTGTGACTGAAACTTTTCTTACAATTAGGACATTTAAACGGTTTCTCTCCTGTGTGAGTCCTCTGGTGTTTCACCAGGCTGGAATTGGTACTGAAACTTCTCCCACAATCTGGACATTCAAAGAGTTTCTCTCCTGTGTGAGTCCTCTGGTGGCTAATGTGGGAATTCTGACTCAAAAGTTTCCCACAATCAGGATATTCAAACAGTTTCTCTCCTGTGTGAGTTCTCAGGTGTGCAAGGAGATGAGAATTCTGACTGAAACTATTCCCACATTCAAGACATTTACAGAGTTTCTCGCCTGTGTGAATCATCTGGTGGCTAATGAGATTAGAATTGATACTGAAATTTTTCCCACAAAAAACACGTTCAAATGTTTCTATCCTGTATGAATTCTCAGATGTATCATGAGCTGGAGTTGTTCTGATTTTCTCTAGTTTCTCTCTCACCTGATGAGGAAGGTGAAGAATTATGTAGCTCTCCGAAGGAAATGGAAAATACTTTGATTTCTGGACTCACTTGTTTTGCTTTTCAGTGTTGCTTCTTATCCTCAGTTGTCCAGAGTGCTGTTATTGCCATCCTCTTTGTCTATAAGATTCAAATAAAAGGGTATCTTTAATTGTGCATAAAATGGTTGCAGAGGATGAGAAAAAAAGAAAACGTTTACATTACAATGACAAAGCAAACATGCCTCAATGCTCCAATACGCTCTTACATTAATCATGATTCATTTGACACATGGAAGGCTACCCAGATCCAGGTTCAAATATCCATTCAATGATGAAATTCATTTGTTGACTGGGTCAATCACAAATTCTTAGCAGAGCAAAGGGTTGTTTTCAAATACAGGCAAGTGAAAAAGAAAGAACACCCTCTTTGATATCTTTGGTTTTACTTATCAGGACATAAAAAATATCATTGCAACAGAAAAGAATAATAGAATTTGAAAGGATCTTGGAGATCTTCTAATCCAGACCCAGAAGTGGGCTGCTGCTGGTTCTCCCCGATTCAGGCGCACGAACCAGGGAGATAATGCGCAGTTTGGCAAACTGGAAAGTGCCACCACTGGCTGGCCCCACCCTTCTACCTGCCCCCCAGTCACTCCTTATCTCGACTCACCTGCCTTGTCCGATAGCTAATCATGCTTACAGCTCTCTGGCTCCTTCGCTCGCTCCACGCGGTCCCTGCAGCCCAGCTGATCTCCGTGCCTCACCTGCCTGCCTGCCTTTGCTATGACCTACCATGCAGGTCACGCGTCCCACTCACCACAGTGGGTGGGCCTTAGGCCACCTCACAGTGCGTACAATTTTCTGAATGCTGTTGGCTGATCTGCTCCCTCCTGGCTCTTCTCCAGCCTGCCAGAGCGCTGTCTTCCCTGCTCCAGAAGACACAGCCTCTCCGCACCTGGCCGAAGAGGGCACCAGCAAGGGAAGAGGTTTACAAGCGTGTGGGATCATGGAGCTCTTTGTCTGAGGTTTTTACGGCCTGCCAGGACAGTGAAATCCAAAACCTGCCCAAGAATCGAGAGTGGTGCTTGGGAAAGTCGTTCCAGCGCTGTGAGATATGTATCTTTCAAAACCTGCCCCCTCACTGCTCCACTTGCTCCCACTGCAGACTCACCAGCTTGGCTCGCTTACCTCCGTCAATGTCAGCCTTCAAGATCTTCTACTATTGCTTTGCATCTTTCGGCTGCCATAAGTAACAGGGGGAGGAGGGGGGACAAGTTGGGAAGCGAGCTGGAGGTGGTATAAACTAGCATTGTATGAAAAGAGGAGGAGGGAGAGTGCATTCTTGCTTAGGTTTCTGTTTCTTGCTCAGCTTTCTCTTCTCTGCGCAGCTGCAAACCTTTATCAAAGTATGCCAAGGTCAACGGACAGAAACTTCATCACCACCTGAAGATGTCCACATGATGATATTCACAACTTTTAATTGGAAGAACCATTTGAACTATTGGGGGTGGGAACATTTCCATCACTTTGTATATGTGATTTACACACCTATTTCCTCAGATTCAGAATTCTCTAGTTGCTACCACTTCATTTCCAGTAAAAGATATCTTTTCTCTAATTAAAAGAGTCTAAGTATTTCTTTCTTGGATTTTGAATGGAACACCGTCTGACAGTCCCATTTCCCCTCCTCCAGAGGCCCTTTACTCACTGTCCCCACTTCTTTCCCAACAACCACCTCTTTCTTCATCCAATCTTACAGAGCACACATTTACACGTCTCACAGCGCCAGAGGGAATATTCCATGCACCGTCTCCTCACAGAAGGTCCCAATACCATGTGATGAGTTTGCGTTTGCTCTGTATGTATGAGGCTGAGAAGCAGGTGTGGCTGCTGGGGGCTTGAGTGATCCCTTAGCTAAGACTCTGTGCAGCTCAGTGAGCCCCCAAATCCCACTCCTGGCTGACCCCGCCCCACCTTATAGATACACCCACTCTTCTCGCCTCATCTTCTTTGGCCACTCGCGCCTGGCTCCCTCGCTTGCTTGCCAGCCTTTACTAGCAAGTTCCTGTGCGGCCCAGCTCTGGCTTCCTCTGTCATGCCCCTGTTGGAGTCTGATTCCAAGGGAGAGGAGGAACAACTGACAGGGAGTGTAAGTGTGGCTCCAGAGGTTGTGGAGGAAACTGAAGAATGGCACAGGCCAAATGATTTTTACTACATCCCAATATATAAAATCATAGAAGTCAAGGGGAGTGTATTTTCTTTTTCACTTGACTGCTTATCTGGAAGTCCTGGGAGAGATTATACATTTGCAGGTATATACATTCAGAGAGAGAGAAAAATACGCACCTACAGTATGGAGATAATCCATGTCTTTCAAGCATGAAAAATATGGTTACAGTCAGTCCTGTGCTATTGTTAATCAGGAATTTGATGAATTTGATGATTGCTCAACTGACATGTTTCAATCTAATTGCTTGCTATAGCTTTTGAAGCATGAAAGGCACCTACAGGGCAGAACAGCTTTTACATCTGAAATTTTACACTGCTTTTGTCACTGCCCCAACCTCCCCCAATATATTTGCAATTCATATGATTTCTTCCACTTGCGTGCCTCATTCTTGACACAATCTTGAACAAACATGCTTGGTGCACTGAATTTCTGGGACTGTTAGGAAAAGAAGAACATTGAAAACCATCCACCTCAGCCCCATGTCTCTTCTCCTCTTGCTTTCTCAATCTCTTAACTATAGTCCCAACGCTCCAATCCCCAAAAGATTCTGGCTGGAGAATTCTAAGGCTGAAAATCTTGGGGCACACATGGAGAAAAAGGCTGGGACTCATGGCACGTAGCATTTCTATCATCTACCATCACAAAAATGCAAAGAACACTCCCAAAAACATTTTTACATAATTGCCCAAATATCCAGCAACTTCTTAGGCTAAAGGCCAGATAACCATTATCAGAGTAATATGTCCTAATTTTTTCTTTCCTCTTCCCCATCTAATACCATTACAAATTCTTTGTAATCAAATTAAAGAGTCAATTTCTCAGCTGGACTTACAATGGGACATGAGAAATGAAATTCAAGCATTCTCTACACTTCTCACTTGAGGCCTCATGTGGATTTTCCTGTGCATGATAAGGGTGGAATGTTGCCTGAAGCACCGTCCATACTCAGTTGAATGGTTTCTCCCCATGATTCATAAGGCTCACTCTAATACAGAGATCTTTCCCACAGTCTGAACATTCAAAGGGTTTCTCTCTTGTGTGAGTCCTCTGGTGTGAAACGAGATGAGAATTTTGACTGAAACTTCTCCCACAATCAGGACATTCAAAG